AGATACCAGATGAACAACGATGCCATAGAGAAATCCGACTGCGAGAGAGATTTAGGAGTAATGATAAGTAGGAACCTTAAGCCAAGTAAACAATGTGTTTTTGCTCGTAACAAGGCTAATAAAGTACTTGGGTTCATACAAAGGAGTGTTAGTTACAAGACTAGCGAGGTCATCCTAAAACTGTATCTTGCTCTTGTGAGACCACACCTGGATTAAGCAGTTCAGTTCTGGTCACCGTATTACAGAATGGATATAGAATCCTTGGAAAGAATTCAGAGGAGAATGACAAGACTAATCCCGGACATTAGGAACCTTGAGTATAGAGACAGGTTAAAGCATCTTAATTTGCACTCCCTTGAGAGACGTAGAGCGAGGGGCGACCTGATAGAGGTGTATAAGTGGAAGGCAGGGCTAAACAAAGGGGACATTACAAAGGTACTCAAACTATCCAACCAGGAGCGAACTCGTAACAATGGTTTTAAATTAGACAAATTTAGATTTAGGCGTGATATAGGTAAACACTGGTTTGGAAACAGAGTAGTGGATGAATGGAACAAGTTACCAAATATCATTATTAACTCGAATACGCTGAATTGCTTCAAACATAGGTTGGATGCTCATATGAGCAATAGGGGTTGGGTGTAAACGGGACTGCCCAGTATGGGCCAATAGGCCCGCTGCAGTTTCCTCCATTCTTATGTTCTTATGTAGGTGGCAAGGAAGGATAGACTGAACAGCTAATAAGCTGGTACGTGGTTGAAGTGATAAAAAAATAGATGGCTTGTGGAGGTATGGGATGTTTGGTTCACACTCAGGATGGGATGGAGAAAGGAAACTCACAATGTGCTCTCTGTATACATGTTGTATTGGATGTACAATGCAGCTTGGTGCTGGGAAGACAGCATGGTTACAAGCGTGATGTAGAGAGAGCTGGTTGGTGAGGATGCTCAGAGGAGGACCAGCTTGTGGGTCGCCATGCTCGCCGGCGGGAGCGAGGACCACCAGGCAGACGGAGGAGGAGGAGGAGGTGTTGCTGGCCGGTTGGTGTAGGTAGAAAGAGACAGGTCACCACGAGGTCAGGTCTTAAATAGCGGGGGGTAGGCGTGGCTTAGTAGTTGACCCCCGCTCCGTGGTGTATGGCGGCGCTGGTTGACCTAGACCACGAGGCACACACTGTGGAATTCGTGGGGTCGGCTACGCAGCGACAAACAGCGTTTGTAGGGGAGAAATCCACTACAGGCTATATCAACAATCACTTGTGTATAAAATGTACGCAGGATTTGCTAACTTTTAAAGAGAATTATCAGAATATCACAGAGACAAAGCCAAGGGTGATAGCTGCTGTTATCACCCTTCCCATGATCATAGTCTTATCTTGTATCATTGTTCTCTTGATTGTTCAAACACCGTATCACAGCTTTTGAGTCACTTCACAGCATGGCGCACATCACTTTCTTACGTAATGATATTAATAATAATAATAATAATGATGAATTTTGGTTTAATTCGCGGTATTTTTTGCCCAATCAGATTCAATTATAATTTTGGGTCTCATATTTCGAAATTCAAATTCATTTCCGACCATGGAAGTCTGCAATGGGTGTCACTTCAATTATATGAAATTGATTGCGCGTTTTGGGGAAAAAAACGAACAAGCTATAGCATTTTTTAAATCTCATGGTGTTCTCTCAACCTCAGTAAAGTGTCCTAAGCGTAAGAACGAGTGTAAATATCGTCATGAGCAACATAGTTGGCATCAGCGTCAGCCGCCTGTACTGATTCAGTTTCAGATTTGCCCCCGAGGGGGCTAGTTTATTGGGCACCCCCTTACATCCTGTGCAAGGTGAAGCGCAGAAGCGTTTACAGCGCCCAACAGGGAAGTATGAAAAGTTCATACTTGCCTTTATGACTCGTACATTAAGGGCGTAAAGGCCTGAAGGGTCATAGGTTTTGTCAAGTTACATAAAGTGAGAGAATGATGAGTGTGTGGGGGAGCCACCTGTACTGATCTCAGAATCCGACGACAAACCAGAACCAGGCCAATAAGGTAAGAAATAAGTGATTCCATCACATGATGAGAGTTAGGCTAGGTCAGGTTAGGTTAGGTCAAGTCAGGTCAGGTTGGGTTAGGTCATGCTAAGTTAGTGATCCAAAAAAGGTTCTGTTTATATGTTTTTCAGTGTTTATGAGTGAACGTATTTTGTATTCACTTGGCCATGAATTTTGTTGGAAAACGCCCCACCCAAAACCCCCGATAACTAAAAAACAGGCAATTTCCGACGGAAATCAAGGTAATAACCAACCAAAACACACAAAAATACACGACCCCGCGAATTCCCCAGGGTATGCCTCGTGGTCTAGGTCAACCAGCGCCGCCCACGGAGCGGGGGTCAACTACTAAGCCACGCCAACCCCCGCTATTTAAGACCTGACCTCGTGGTGATCTCCCTCTTTCTACCTACACCAACCAGCCAGCAACACCTCCTCCTCCGCCTGCCTGGCGGTCCTCACTCCCGCCGGCGAGCATGGCGACCCACAAGCTGTCCTCCTCTGAGCATCCTCACCAACCAGCTCTCTCTACATCACGCTTGTAACCACGCTGCCACTTCCCAGCACCAAGCTGCATTGTACATCCAATACAAACAGAGAGCACATTGTGAGTTTCCTTTCTCCATCCCATCCTGTGTGAACCCAGACAACCCATACCCCACAACATCACAAGTTTCGAGAGTTCCGTTTTCTTTGATGCATGAGCAGACCTTATAATTATTCTATACATCTTGGTCAAAACAATCATGGAGGTTACGAGGAACTGCCCTACGTATGATTAAGCAAGCCAACTTAAAATATAAAATCCAATTTCTAAGCATTAGAATTACTGCATTGTTGGCAAGTACTGGGCATGCACGCTCTCCTGAATGTATTTGAACCTCACCACTGTTGGTCAAGTCAAAATTATAAGTATTGATATTATTTTGTATTTTTTTTTTACTGGGAATAGCCCACCCGGGCACAGGTCACCGACCCACATCGGGGCCTGGTTGGCGAAAATGTAGTACTACTACTACTACAGCAACAACTACTACTACTACTACTAATAATAATAATAATAATAATAATAATTCATAGTAAATAAAATCTATAATAAAAATACAGAAATCAAAATAAAATATTAATGATAACAATAATAATAACAGCACTGTAATAATAATAATAATGATGAAGAAGAACCATGAAGAAATAAAAAAATGAAAAACAAAATCAATTGTGAGAAACGATATACTGTATGTATGTTGTGTTGTCAAAGTAAGAGAAACAATTGAGATCCTGTGTAAATGAGGCACAGAAAATCAGCTCAGCAACGTGGGACTTGGTCACAATTTTCGAGATGCCATATGGCATCATTTTTGTGTTCTAGAGATGAAATACAGTATTTTTTTTATCATATTGATATCAAAACAGTTTATTTAGCCAGAACAATACAGATGCAGAATGGATAATATTAACAACATTGGCTGGGCTCTTTTTTACAGTGTCAGGTTAGAATACATTGATATCCAGGAAAAGAAACTGCCAAAATTTGTATTATTCCTCATCCTATCAGTAATAACTTAATCAGTGACGAATAAGATTAAGTAGTGAAAAGTGATGGAACAGCTGTAACGCACATAACTCTTGTTAGTATGTCAAGGGTTCGAGCCTCGGCTCGGACACACGGAAGAAGGGTGCTATCCAGTGTGACCCTACCAAACACCACAGGTTTCCCGGTCCCATGTTTCCTCCTGTACTAACACTGGATAGACCACCCAAACGTCTAGTAAGCTGATAAGTGGCGAATATGCGATTAAAAAACAATTGGAATCTCGACTGGTGATGGTTGTATGGTGTTGTAGAAAACGAAAAATAGAATGTGGTATACAATAGCATACTCGTCATACGTGCTTAGTCTATTTATATTTTGTTGCATTTATCACATTTGTCCTATAGCAACTTAAGATCTTACTGATTGGGTGAATAGTGGCCTAGAATTTAATTTTTGGTGGGCATAGGTGATAGATCATGTATAGGCTTCTACAGAGCCGGACTAAGCTTAATAGGGGCCTGAGGCACAGATCAACTTGGGGCCCCCTACCCTCAAGGTATATATAAATAACAAGAACAAAATATACCCAAATTTATCAATGATTTCATCAATATTAAGCTTCTGCAAAATAACACATTTAATGTTCATAAGATACAGAAAATTGAGACGTTGCTAGGACATCGTTGAACGAAGTTCATGTTTTATACGCTTCAACTTCGAGAATGTTTGGATTTGGGGGCCCCTTAGAGTCGGGGGCCTGTGGCCAGTGCCTTAAGTGCCTCATGGTTAATCCGGCACTGGGCTTCTAAATATACAGATGCTGATCTAGTTTCTCTCTCGCCCTCTCTCCATTTGAATATTTTATATAAAAAAATACTTTTGGTGGGAAGATAACGTAACGGTAGATATGTACATTTTTAGCGTGAAATATTCAGCTTGATATTGGATAGAGTTTAACTGCGGTGGCATTAGGATAGCAGCGATGAGAATAAATTATTATACAGTACATGAGCTTTTAATTGGCATTATTAGCCCGCACATGCTCAGTACCTGCCAACAGTGTAAAATATGGATACTGTACAAATACAATAGGTATGATGTGAATTGTTGCCATTAAGCATGCAGATGGAAATATTTTATTATTATTATTATTATTATTATTATTATTATTATTATTATTGATGCTATCGATTATATTATTTATGAGATGAAATGAATGTCCCAGAAACTAGTGTAAGTGTCATTATTCTAGGACAGACTCCAGGAAGTTCACACAAATTCTACATTAAGAGTAAATAATTACGTTACAGTGACATTACGTTAACGAGGAACAAAGCAGGAAATAAACGTAAAGAAAAAGAGAGCACCACCCGTTTGGCACACTTCCAACCTGGCACCCTCAACAACAGAATGCCAGACTTGCAGCCCGGCACCGTCAGTAGTATACTAGCTACAGTGAAAACACCACGGATGTCCACACCCGGTTCCCCGGCAATAGTGACACACTCCTTTAGTGTTACGCAGCCTACAGTGTTATAACCTCGTCACCTCTGGAAAGACACCACGTGAGTCGCCTACCATCACTTCGGTGATCGCTTGTTGGCCTAGAACTAGTGCAGAGGACCTTGTTTAGAAGTCACCGTTAGAAAGGTCACCCAATAGATCGATGTTTTTGCAGCAACCTGTCTTCTGAGAGTATATTAAAAAATGAGGCAAACATGATTAACGTATATTTCTTTGTTGGTGCCTGTAATGCTTTGCTCTTCGCCATGCACAGCGGATAAAGTAGAGTATGAATCTAGAGTGTATAAAATAGACCCAAGCGGAATAAGTACATAACGTTGACAAAATGACGAGAGATTACGCAAAGACCTGTACAAAGATAGAGCAAAGTGAACACGTTGTTTCATAATTTATGATACTAATGATGTTCTTTATAAACCAGGTTCTATCACGTATGGTCACGATAGGCTATGTAGGGTTTGCTTAAAGAGCAAATGTAAAATTTTTACTTAGTTTTCTGAATATGCACATTATTGAACTTACTGCGATGTGTTCATTTTTGTATGTATCGACCCGGCTTCTTGTTGCCCAGTCACTGTCCCCGAAATAATTCGAGATTGGGTTTGCCGAATTGGACTAAATTTGATAGGTTTGGTCAACATGTGACACGGTCCATAAGAAAAGCTATTGGTGCAAATCGCTCCAAAACTTGACCAAGCGATACCACTGTAACGGTTCGTGCAATTATAACGCAGTTTTTTTCGGTGGTTAAAGAAAACGATGACTAAATTAATTTACAGAAACAGTATCACTGTATCGATATCAATTCAATTCTTGTCATTGTAACGGTTCGTGAACAGGATTTGTATTCACTCGGATGATGTCTAATTATGTATATTTTCCTTATATTAAGTTAAGTTTCCATCAAACGTTTCAACACCTTGTTAGCGGTTAAGACTGTTGTAAGGATGTGTTGTAAGCAGGGAGTACAGTGCAAGGATAAAATACTGTTTATAGTCCTTGGTCCAGTGTAGGAAGACACGCGCTCACCTGTGCCTGTCAATCGTTGGTGGGATTATAGGGGAGAAGTCCTTGATTGATCGTCACCACCTCCACCACTACTACCTCCACCTCCACATCACCACCACTACAAACTCCACTCCGCCACCTCCATACAATCACCACCACCACCTCCACAATACCCACCACCTCCTCACTTCATCACTAACATCACCACCAACCCACCATCACTCACCTTTCAGTTGAGGAGATGAAGGCAGTTCGAGCACAGTGTGGGCTACGCTCGTTGATGTTTGTACCGAATGCATTATAGTGCACTGTATCAACATTAGCCGTAACGGGTCGTCAGGAGTACAGGACCCACTTTCACTACGAAAAAAAAAAACATCTCACAGGGGAATTAGACCAACATTGAGTGCAAAATTATAGGTTACTTAAAAGCAAGGCGGTCCAGTGAATGTAGAGTTTCCAGGGGTCTGTAGTTCGATTCCCGGACGCTCCCAGTTCACCCAGCTGTAAATCGGTACCTAAGTTTCCAACTTGGGGAAGTGAATGCGTTCGAGTGCAGTACCGGAATGCTGCTTAGTATACAGTGTGCTCATGTGCTGTATCCACAATGACTTGACAGTCTGCCTATGGGACATACTTTCATAAACGAGGGCGAGTAACATGGTATCCTAAATGCTGAAATAGAGTGAAGAAGACATTTTAGCATAGGAAAAAGAGGCGGTTTAGGATAAGCTATTCCACAGGCAGATCAGCTTAACATCTCATTATATAACATTATATAAATTCTGAGAAAATTTTGATGGACGTCATCACCCAACACCTGACCGAGCAGTCTTACCAACGCATCACATTAAATGGAGAAAAAATCTTACCTGATAAAACTACTTTCCATGAGAGTAAAAGAAAACGTAGACCAAGGTTTACCACTGGATGTGTTGCGTTTGAAATTTTCTACGGTGTTTAACAAAGTCCCACATGCACGGTAAGACATTTTATTTAGAATTAAATTACGAACTTTCAATTTCTTCTTGTAGCTCATGGAAATGTGTCTAATTATGATAATTTTTCTTGATATATATATATACCAAGGAGACACTGAAACCGAGCTGGGGTTTTGGTTCACGCGAAGATGGCGACCCAAAGTTCCCAGATCGACACCAACTGTATGACCCTGACGCGGTTCACCCTACATGAGCAGCAGAAACACCCTGAAGCGACGGGCGATTTCTCCTCACTCCTCATGAGCATCCAGACTGCCGTCAAGAGCATCTCTAACGCCGTCAGGAAGGCTGGCATTGCTTCCTTGTGAGTATAAGAATAAAAAAAAAGAAATATACAGGGTCTTCCATAATAATGCATGCACATTGCCTTACAGATTTTCGCGGAGATCGCGGAAGGCTTTTTTTTCTTTTTTCTACGGGGAATAGCTCACCCGGGCACAGGTCATCGACCCACAACGGGGCCTGGGGGGGAGGGGCGAAAAAATAAGAGTAAAAAGAAATTAAAAATAGAAAGGAAAAAGATTATATTAATCTACACCACGAAGATGCCGGAAAACCAGCTTTTTGAAGTGAGACAGATTGTGAGAGCATGGAAACACAGAAGAAGGCAGAGCATTCCACAGTTTGGCTGTGTGAGGAAAGAAGGATGTACTATAACGAGTTATTCTCGTGTGACCGACAGCCACAGAGAAACGGTGGGCACCGCGGGCAAGACGAGTGTTACGAGCCCACGGCTTTGCCGGCGGTACACAGGATGCCAAATCCATCGAACATTGCCCGTTAAAGTAGCCTACCTGTAAAAGAGAGAGAGTGAAGCAACATTGAGGCGAAGAGAAAGGGAAGAAAGATTATCAACCAAAGAAGGAGAGATAATAGACGAAATGCCTTTGATTCCACCCTATCTAATAGTTGGACAGAAGAAGAGCCACCCCAGATATGAGAGCAGTACTCCAGGTTAGGACGAATAAATCCCTTATATACTTGAAGCAACTGCTCAGGAATTGTATGGGGGGGGGGGTGGAATTTTAATATTTTTATTATATCTTCCACTTATTCTTTCCTCGTGTATTTATCAGTGCTTAATTGTATTCTATACAATGGATTAACCTGGGAAAACCATATTCTTCAACACCTATTGGTATAATTATCATACTAACAGAGGTAGACTGCCACCACCCAGGCTTTTGTTAGAATATAACTGATATTATTGACAGTGCTAGGTAGCGTGGTAGATGCGAGCTTAGGCACGTGAGTTGGTGTTTATTTTTTGAGAAGCAATTGTTAGAAGGGAAAGAGCAGTGATACTCAAAGTTTACTAAATCAATATTTATTAAAATCAAAAGTGAATAAGATGACAATTTAAACACACAGACAAGTATGGATCATTAGGTTTTACTTTATAAGCAACAAAACAGATCTTCGATTAAATTATTTGTTACAACATTAAACAATTGTTATATTATTTCTTTGACAAAAAGATGGTTATTTTACACAATTGTCAATAGTACAGACATTAATACATTCCTTATAACATCAGGTTAGTAATGAATGAAGACATGGAAACATACCAGCAGCTCAATTGGGAGTATACCTTGATGGTTTACTCACAATACATATAACAAATTTTAATACTGGTAATATCAATATTTATGGTTTCCATACTCAACCCGGGAAAATTATATTTCTGCTAATTATCCCCAATAATGTACAACAATATTACTTTGCATACATAAATGAGATTACTACACCAGGGTCATTCACTGGTGTTTAGGACAACAAATGAAGCTTGGTATTAGTGTCGGTTGGACTAGGACGCATGGCTAGGGAGCTCATCTCCCAGGCTTGGTTCCTAGGGCGCGTTACTCCCTCGTTTTAATCTGGCTGAATTAAAGACATCCTACCTTAGACATCAGGCTGATAGGAAGCTACCGATCCACGGTAGCTGCGGGTATTCAGCTACAACACTGTGCCGGAGAGACGAGGAGGGACGTCACAAAAGTAGTTTTAAAAGTCTAAACTCAATTACAAACAATCGTACATCTGGCAACGGCACAGACGATATTTACTTTACGTTAATTCTCACTTGGCACAGGAGGATTTCACTATGTTAAAGCATGAACACTGATATTCAAAAAATTCAACTGAGTTAAACTGACTTAATATGGCGGGTTTGACACATACCTGAGAGACATGGAGGGACTCGTCAGAAGGTGACGCTGTCCTTTCAAGTTTACAAGCTCCAAAAAGTTGTTGGTAGAGAAAGGCAGAGCGGGGAAGATGACAGAAGAAGGAGCATAAGGTTAGGAAGGGAATTGTAGTGGGAGAGATAGTGTCGTGGCTTTCCACGACTGCGTTTATTTGGTTAGCGCATAGCGCACGTATTTGGTTTTTATCTGTGTTTGGTGTGTGATCCTCGGGTCACCACTCCTCCGGATTGTGTTAGTTCCAAGTTTAGAAGCTCCAACAACTTTCCCTGAATACGAATTCCCAACCTTTCGATTTACAACAAACAGGTACCTACTTACTGCTAGGTGAACAGGGACCAAGGGGGCTAGGAACAGTGTCCAAACAACTTCCGCCTGCCCGGGAATCGAACCCGTGACATCTTGCTTGCGAGGCAAGAGCGGTACCGCTTCTACCACAAGCGCCTCGCGCACGCGTTTATATACGAGGCTAACTGGCAACTCAGGCATGCCAAACAGGCAATACGCATATTAACATATATACTTCATTTAAATTAGTTGCTGTACATTTGGCTATTAAAATCAATGTCATGAGTCAGAGCAATCCCTTACATCTATTGTTACAATCTAATCAGAGTTTGAGTTTGCCAGGCAATATTGAAATGGACGTTAAACACACAAACTGGTAACGTCTTTCTTACGACCTTATAAGACCTAATAATTTAGTTGTCTGATTTACCTTCTTCTCGCAATGGCCCGAAAACTTCAGCTCATTGTCAACATATACACCTAGGCCCTTTTCACACTCAGTCTCAATTAATGCAGTTTCTTCGTCCCGTTAGGACATATGATACGCCTCCTTACCGTTGGTACGTCCCAGGTGCAACCTCTTACACTTTGACAATAAATCTTAGCAGCCATTTCTTCGACCATTCTTGGAGCTCACAGAGATCCTTCTGCAGCTCCTGACGCAGTTGTACAGCGTCAGGCATGTCATTTACGAAGCAAACAAACAACAGCAGGCCCAATACACTGCCCTGTGGTACCCCACTTGTGACGGGTACACATGATGATTTCGTGCCATTAATCACCACACACTGCTTGCGGTCATGTAGAAAGCCTTCTATCCACGCTAAGACATTTTCCCGAAACCCGTACCCTTCCAGTTTAATTTTTAGCCTCTCATGGTGTACGCTGTCGAAAGCCTTGGCAAAATCTTGGTATACATTGTCGATATTACCACCCTGTTCCAGAATATGGGTCCAAATATCCAGTAATTTGAGTAATTGTGTTAAGCAGGAGCGCTCCAGCATAAAACCGTGTTTGCATCCTTTACGAGGTTGTTTCGTAGTAGATGTCCCATCATGGCATCTCTTATAATGCTCTCAAGTACTTTACATACTATGCTGGTCAGGCTCACCGGTCTGTACTGTAGTTGTTACTGTTGCTGTTATAATACAAACATTCACACAATCTCCACGAAAATCTGTTAGGCAATGTGTATACTTGTTTTCTGAGACAACCTATTAAAGTTGACAGATCGGAAGATAACGAAGGTCCTTCATTTCTTTATTAGCGATCTTCAGATACGCTGCCTGTAGCTGTTGTAGGTTATGGCTATGCTGAGGCTACTGTAATGTGTGTATGTGTATAAGTACAAACTCTAAACTCATCATGCTGTACGGACTTGTACCTTTTTTCCGTCTAAATTCTTGATTATACCAAAAGGCGGAGTAGGGGATTGCACATTATTATTATTATTATTATTAGTAGTAGTAGTAGTAGTAGTAGTAGTAGTACTGTAGTAGTAGTAGTAATATAAGTAAGCGAAGGAATGGCTATTGGGGGAGGCTGGAGGCCATAAAAAAGTAATATAAGTAGTAATAGTATTACGACATCGATCACACCATAGTATGCATGAGGCATGACAAAGTAAGGGATCTCCCAGCACATATAATACGTGGAATTTGCCACGACGTCACGGTGGAACCGACCCTCCTTCCATTGGACGGTGAGAATCTCCATCACAGGACTTCCCTTACATCCAACAAAGCCCTGTGGAGGTCAGCGCTCGAGGTTTCTGTGTACTGCGCACATCATTGTCATTCCTAAAAACCCCATTTAATTCATATTACGCTATATAACATTCAAATCCACCGCGCCTGTAGAATCTCAGAAAACGGGAAACATTGTTAAAGGATAACTCACCAACTAGACCATGTGTTGTATTGTACCCAGGTACAGTTATATAATGTTAATTGTATGTATTCATAGCATTAAGGAGAATTCAGGGTATCTATAAGATGATTGGGAAAGTCCAGTTGAGCCGGACTAGTGTACTGTAGGACTAAGTGTGGATCATGGTTTGAAGGTCATACTATTTACGTCTGTGAACGTGTAGCGAACATAACTTCCACAGATATCATATGAAAATACATGAGGACAATGATCTGGAAAAAGGATAAATGTATCAGAACTATGTGAGGTGTTGGAAGTGACCCAGAAACTATACTTGAAAGGAAATAATCTTGTATGCGTCGGTATGAACTTAATACACCTCGTATCCTCACGTGACATATACCCACGACAGGTACAGTGATCAGAGAATCTTATGTCTGTGTTCAAATAGTGCAATGTGTAAGAGGAGGATCCCTCATTACCATGGGCGTCCGCAGGGAGGGGCAAGGGGGGGCATTTGCCCCCCCTTGGAAAATAAAAAATTTGAAAAAATTACATGGAAAATACAAAATGAATAAAATAACATAAACATTTCTCAACAGTTCATTCAGTTAGAGCAGGTTACTACTCTTGGAACAGGAATTGGAATCGTCGGGGATCTCTTCCGAAATTGTCAATGATGTCTTCACACTTCACACGTCGAATTCAGGATAACATTGCCCCCCCCCCTGCATTTTTCTCTGCGGACGCCCATGCTCATTACAGTTTTAAGTGAAGTTGATACACCCCCGCCATGAACATTCAGCCTTTGTTTTAAGGCGCGCCATGTACTCGCCTCGGGTGTGCCGCGTTGATATTATAACCCAATGCCTAGTCCACTCTTGCACGCTACCTAACGAGCTACATGCTGTCCAGAGGGGGTCTGGTGGCAGCGACCCTTAGA